TTTTTTTAGCAAGTGTGCAGGAATCATTAACACGCCAGCTGGGCAAGGAAGTGAAGATCGAGCCATCGGAATCGCTAAAAAATCGCATCACAGGTGCTTCCGAGGAAGAGATTGTTTATTCAGGGCTGGAATTCAGCATGCAGAAATCAGGTATATATGAATCAGCGGATTTACCTAGATTTACTGGCGTACTTAGCGGCAGAATTTTAATTTCGTGACAACAAAATGATTTGCCAATGAGGGAGGGCAGTCCTTTATTTCCCAAAAAGTTCAGCTGTCCCACTGAGCGCTTACTTACAAATTAAGCATGAGCATGAGGATGGATGAGATTCGGAGATGAATGGGGAATGGGAGGTGAATTAGAAGCGAAATGATGCGGGAAGAGAAAGAGGAGAGGAAGAGGGATGAGTTTACAAAGAGAGCTGGGCAACTTAAATAAGTTTGTGCAACAAGGGCCAGAATAATATAATAGCCAAAGCAGACCAAGAAGGCGGAGTGTGGTACCAAATTCACTTCCTTCTATGCTTGAACCCTTCTACTGGTACTGTCCCAGTAGAAATCATCTGTACTTTTTTCTGTACTTATTACTAATGTGCAGTGTTCCAAAATGTGGCCACCCATGAAGTGCATCTGTGCCGATTCAGTAAATCTAGCAGTTTTAACATAATCAAAATCCTCTGCACTTTTTATCTAAAAGAGACGGCAACAACAGGGAAGTAGCAAGAACAGCAACAAATGCCAATAGCAACCACTCGCTGGCAAGGTTGCTGATGATCGCTTCTTCGAGCGTTGCTTAGATGCAAGTTGAACTCCTTAGCACAGGCCAGTACCAATTTACCATCGAAATGAATGAATTGATTGTAGAGAAATTGATTGATTTTTTAAAATATATTTTCAAGGCTGTACAAATTTCATCTTCTACGGATTCCCCTTTTAATTTCAGCAGATTCTAGCTGCACTATTTTGATAAAACCGAACCAAATTAATTTTTGGATCGCTTGAAATGGGAGAAATACTGGATTTTTTTTTCACTATTTCTGAGTACTCGAGAAACTCGAAAAATGTTGCTGTTACTAAATTGCACTTGCTCAAACTACCGCCAAGCTTCTACAGCGCCCAAAAAGAGACAATCAGGAAGGGTTTTGACCTCTACTTTGATCCCCATCGTAAAAAAGTTTCAGTTGAAGCTGCTGCTTTTTAGCCCGTGATATTATGCGCACAGCAGAAAAGTACAATCTTGGCCTGGATCTCCGAACAGCGGCTTATGCAACGGCTATTGAGAAAGTTTACAACACGTATCGAGCTTCAGGCTTCACATTCTCGTGATTCTCGTTTTGATTAATTAAGCGGCAGTCTGTTGACCGTTATTTCTGTTCACTTTTAAAATCCAGGAAGTACCTTGTAGTGCAGATAATCGCTTCAGTAAATGCTTTGCTACTGCTAATTTGCAATGACAGAACCAGTCACATATTTATTTGCACCCGC